TGTTCCCATACCAAAATCTTTACATACTTTGGGATTCACCTCATCAGACTGGCACTGTCCTTGGCATGATTTCGAATGAGACGTTTCTCTCTTTTCTCCCATATTCTCCTGTTACTCTTTCGCATTCATCGCTTGCATTCACTTTTTATGTTTGTGACCATGCTCTTCAAAAATAAATGATAAAAATAAATGATAAAGTGATTTTCCGAGACTAAATTTCAGTTTGATACTTCCAGTAGTTGCACGCTCGGTGGCTGTTCTGTCCCTTTATTTTTGTGCATCACGCCCCAATAACCGTGAAGATACGAAGATTCACATTTGTACCGGTTTCGGACCATGTGTCCGCTATACGTTGAGATACTATTGACTTCCAACTTAGTCATTGTTTCTTGCCGTTTCCGAAACCAGTTAGATTTTCTCAAATTTTGATGCAACATACCTATAGGCAACTTGATCTTTACCTAATTTGCATATTGTCCCAATCACTATTCCCGCAGTATTAGACTTTGTATTTTACCCAGATTGGGTTTTAATCGTATGCTTTCTTACAGTGGCCAAGTCCCCTTCTATTCCTGTTTATCCTTTTAGAAAACCACTTTCGGGCAACAGTGTACCGTCATCTAGCTGATGCCATCAACGGACACCAACAGAGTCTCCCGGCAGAAAATCAGTCGCTTCCCACTTTGCCTACTGTTGCTTTAGCCGTTCGGATAGCTTGTCTGCGATGTTCAAATCAGTTACCTGCGCCGCACATTTTGCCAGAGCTATGGCACGAAACACTGAGTGGCATTGTGGCTCTATTCACCGCAATCCGAAACCGTACGTACTTCCGTCTGTCAGAGATTCTTCTTTTTCGCCTTGTTTTTCAACCCGAGTTAGGTATTAAATTTAGGCGCCAGCTACTTATCACGGGGTAGAGGCGTAGGTTCAACCACACTCCTGGGTTTTTGGTTGCTACTGTCGAGGTCTGGACACACCGGCAGTATTTTGGGTTGCATCGTAGTGAAACACCGAGGGACCCAACAGCTGAATGATTTGGTGTTTTCTTGGTTAGAAGGATACTGACCGGAAGGTCCGTGGTTCGAATCGGACCTCTGCCTCTCGACTTCCCCTGTCTAGGCTTGGACAACCTGGACAACCCTCGCTCGTGCTTCCTTCGGGTGGCATGGCAGCTAGGAACTGGAGGAGTGTTACAGCTGGACGATTTTTTGGATGACTTCGCCAGATCGAACACCCTTAATTCTGGAACTGTTTCTGCTCCCATGTCAAATTAGTGCTTTATTGGTGAGCTTATTGTGGATAACTTGAACACTGTCGGTTACAGTTTTCAATCAGTCAGTCCCATTTTAAAAAGTTGGCCTTGTGCCATGGCCATTAAAAGTAATTCATGCGAACAGCGGTTACAGAACGTAACTATGCACAACTGTGCTCCATAGTTTAACCCTATAATATGCCCTTGTTATCCTATAGAAAAGCTCATGTTATATATATATATATATATATATGTATATATATACATGTGATAATATAATGTGATAATGATATGAAGAGCAACACACGAATAAGGGGATGTCATACCTGTGCAACGGGTGATGCAGGTTCACGAAAGCTCTCCTGGTCTTCCAATTCCGAATAGAAATATCATCTTTCGCGAAGACCACCGGGACGGATACAGTTGTCCTGGTGGGCAAATTTGCCTATTAACTCAATGGGCTCATCCGAAAACCATGAGGATAAGGTTCGGTTGCACCCAGCCTTGCAGCAGAACTTTACACTTTGCAGGCGCGTACCTAACCGTGAGGCAGAAGTTAGGTTACTCAATATTGAATTACCACGGCGTCAGATCCAAGAAGAGCTATGTTGTCTGCATACTCGATATAGGTGAGCGAATGCCCTGGGAGCCATTCGGTCACACAGGCATTGGAGGTTTGTAGTGAGTCTTCCATGATCGCATCAATGACGAATTTGAAGAGGAAAAGTTAAAGAGGACAGCCCTATCGGACACCACTTGGTGTGGTGAACTCAGGCGAGATCTTCCCATAGACCTTTACACGGTCGCGAAAGTTGGCGTACAACGCCATAAAGGAGGGAAACCTTTGCC